GGTTCCTCAAACATCAATCCGGGCATATTTCCTAAGTATTAGGAGTCAGAGTATTGGGATAAACAGCTCTTGGTCAAAAAGAAAGAACAGAAACACATAGTGAAATCACAAAATTCTCAGAGGTATGAGTGTTTATGTCCACCATGCGACCAGCGCACTGGTTTCATTAATGAGGTTCTTGGCATAAAAGTTAGCTAGCGAGATCGAAATAAAACACACAGACTCAGTTACCTTTTTCTATGACCAGGTTCGAGATGGCTCCCCCTCTGGCTTCCACCTCTAACTGCCCGGTAGGGCAGCAGGGATTACTCAGGGCTAGCAGGAGAGAGAGAGGGGGAGCACGCCAGGGAGTAGCCTTTTATTGGGGAACAAGAAATTCAGGGGAGAATTCCATCCAATGAAGGTTGAGGGGGGCCGCACTCCAAGGTCAGGGTCAGTGATTGGCCCCCGGGGTCAGTGGTCAGTCACACCCCCACACGGACGGGCTCTCTCATCAGGAGAGGGCCAGGAAAGCTCTGACACAGATTAGCCAGAGCGCCTCAGACCCAAACCAGGAGTTGCCCAGTCACGTGTGAGAATGGCTCTCCACATTTATGCAGCAATGGAGTTGGCAGGGGAGGGGGGATGTCTGAGGTTTCAGAGATGACAACTGAGCTGGCCCAGTAGGCAGAAGGATCTTCAAGGTCACCTGCTGACATCCCCACTAGACCAAGGGGGTAACTGCATCATGGAGTAGGAATGGAGTTGCTCAAGTTTGCTCTCTTAATTTTCTGTAGCTATAACAGAATACCTGAGGCTGGGTAATTTATAGAGAAATGAAGTTTATTTTGGTTCATGGCTCTGGGTCTGGGAAGTCCAAAAGCACAGTGCCAGCATCTTCTTAGCTTCTGCTGAGGACCTTGTGCTGTTCATGTATGGCAGGAAGTGGAAGTGTGAGTGAGTGTGTGTGAGAGAGGCAAAACATGGGAGGCACTTGCTTTATAACCAGCAGCTCTGGCAGTAAGAAATCCAGTCCCAAGAGAGTGAAAACTCAAACGTATGAACCCCACTTAATGGTCTAATTGTCTCTTAAAGACCCCACTTCCCAACACCACCACAAAAGCTGAGTACAAGGCGTATATTGGAGGGGACGTTTTATATTTAAACGTTAACACCACACAGCCCTTAGCAGAGTGGGATCGAGGACCTAGGTTTCTGGGAGTCCCTGTCCAGAGCTCTTCTTCCTCACATGGTTGGCCTTCCTGTTCCTGGTGTGCTAGAAGTGACCTTTGCAGGACCTGATCTTCTGCCCCGTCTGTCCCATGTGGCCCCATCACAGTGATTTGTCACTACCTGCATTCCAGTACAGTTAGCGCTTCCCTGTTCCCTGCATTCCATCTGGGTGACATTGCAAAACACTAAAACTCTCCCCAGGGAGGACACTGCACACGCCAGGCCGTTGGCCTACCTGGGAAGAAGGGGCAGGCGTGACCCCAGAGCCTCTGACCTTAGGAGCTGGCCTAGTTCTTGGTGCATAGGGGCTTCCTACAGAGCAATGAAGGAGGAGAGGGGAGGTGGATGGGCCCTGAGTCCCAGTGTCTCTGTAGACTTTTCCAGAGCTGAGTCTTCTCTAGAATCATCTGGAAAGACAACCTGGGGCCAGATCACAAAGACCACTGAATGCCTAGCTAAGGAGCTTGGCTTTATTCTTCCAAGAGGGAGGAGCCAAGCTGGCCTGTGAACAGAGAAGAAATGGGATGGGAATATAAATTAATTTGTTTCTTTTTGATGATTGTTTCTGACATTCATTTTTCTGGTTGTAAAACATACACAGGAAGAACATTGGATTAGGTGAGGATGTTTTGAGCCCCATCTCTGCCACACATCACCTGTGGATTCTAGAACAGTCACTCCTCAGACAGTCTCACCCCCTGACAACCACTGCACTGGGTCCTCCAGGCATCTGGGCTCCGTTGAATTTAGTAACTGAGCCCTCTCTATATAGGATAAATAGAGGCCATCCTGAGATAAGCACCCAACATTTGGGAGACAAGCACGGCCTTCATGAGGGGCTGTTGACTTTCCTTCTGTGGCACTGCGCACACTCTGAGCCCTGCTAAATACAGGGGTCAAATATACTAACCTCCTAAACCGGTGTAGTTTGACATCTCTGCCAGCGGGTGGCACTCTTCCATAGCTTCTAGGAAGAGGTCTCTAGTGGAGGGCTGGAAGCTCTGTTCTGCTCAGTGTCCTTTATCACCAAGCCAGGTGAAGTCAGAGTCTTCAAATGCCTCAGTCAAAAAATAGAATCAGTAAACATTGGCTAGAACAAGCAGGGTTCAAAAGGCTTGCATGGGTTTTCATGGGGGAGATAAATGAGATGTTGAAATGTTCTGGAGATAACAGATCAAATTCTGCTTGAATTCAACACTGCAATGCAAAAGCTTGGGAGAAGGAGGGAAATTCACCACGTTGTGGAGTTGTGCTGGGTCTCACATGTGGAGTGCGACAGCCCCTCAGCACTGGGTCCTCATTACCATGGACGATACTTCCTTGAATGTCAGCATCTGAGAATAAATGTCTTAGCTCTTCTCCATTTTAAAGTGGCTGCCTTCCCAACCTCCCTGGGGAGTTTGTGACAATCAATCATGACTCTCTGTTAATGGTGGAAAGAGAGGAATTGTAGGGTGCTGAGGAAGACCACCGTGATCCCCCAAGACTTGAAAACATTTTGGGCGGCAGAGCCAGGAAGCACTGGCAGAAGGGTGCTCCAGGAAGAGAGAGCATCTCCCTGTGCCTAGGAGGAGAAGAGCTTCAGATTTTTTCTTCTGAGCGACGCAGCAGAAATGCACCATCAACGGACTCTCCGGGTGAAGCCGAGGGCCTGGGCTAGAGGAAGGAGTTCTGCTGTACTCAGTCTTCATGTCTTCTTTCATCTTCCTTGCCTTGTTTTACTTCGAGAAGAAGCATTTACAGAGCCTCTCCTGTGTCCCAGGTGTGCCGACTCACATCTGGTTGTGGTTTCCAAGTCACTAGGATCTGTCGGGGAAGCTGGGACTTGGACACTATCAGCTGTGATGTGACTATACACTTAGCATCCCAAGCAGTTCCTGGCACACAGTAGGTCCCCAAGAATAATAATGTTCCTGGAGTGCTTACCTGGGTGTCAATCACTCTGCTGAGCATTTTGTATCTTAGCTCATTTCAACCTTGCATGTTGTTAGGGTTTGGATTTGGAACATCCCCACAAAGCTCATTTGTTGAAAGTGTGGTCCCCAAAACAGCAAGGTTCAGAGGTGAGGCTCTTAGGCAATGATTGGATACTGAGGGCTCTGACCTCATAATTTGGTGGATTAATCCATTAATAGCTGGATAAACTACTAGAAGGTGGAAGCAAGTGGAGGGAGTAGATCACTGGGGTCTTGACCTGGGACACACACCCCCGCCCCATTTCCTGGCTGCCCTGAGCTGAGCCACTTTCCTCCACCACGCCCTTCCACCATGACTTTCTGCATCCCCTCAGGCCCATAGCAATGGAGTCAGCCAATTACAGACTGAAATCTTTGGAACCCTGAACCAAAATGAGCTTTTCTTCCTTCAAGTTGTTTATGTCAGGTATTTTGGTCACAGTGACACATGCCCATGAAGTAGGTGTAACTCATCCCAGTTAAAACAGGGTCATGATGTAGCTTGCCTATAGTTGCACAATTAAGAAATTGTAGAGTCTTTCCCCAAGTCCACACTCTGAACCACTGCACCATAGTGATCTCCATAAATGTGTCTAAGTGAAAAAACACAGAAGCCCTATATCCAAGATACAAGAGGTGTGTAGACTAAACCCAGATTACACTGTATCGATCAGAAGATATTTCCAGGCAGTTACTATGTCAAGAAAGGACTCAATGAACAAATTTGGTGCTGATGATCAGGGTGGGTGGCACTGTCTAGGCAGGGTTAAAGGGAAGCAGGTGGGTGCCACAAATGGCCAGGCTTTGTCAGTTAGGGTGTCTGTTCATTGCCTCCAAGGCCCTTTCCTGCTCCCTTGTAGGGGTATTATGGTCTGAATTGTGTCTGCTCCAAACTCACTTGCTGGAGTTTTAACTCCCATTACTTTAGAACATGACTGTATTTGGACATCGGATCATTAAAGAGTTATCTCAATTACAACAAGGTCTTATTCTTAACATACAGAACCTGAACCACATGATGCTCACAAGTCCCTCATTCTCTGTGCCACATTAAACAGCCCTATGAGCTATTGCAACAAGAAAGCCCCACACACCGCTGGAGTATTACAAGAAGACTTTGTTTCTTGCTCATGGGCTAGTCTATAGGAGGATGGTCCGTAGGAGGCCTTTTCCTCTACATGGTGAGTCAAGGACCCAGGCTCCTTCAGTCTTATGATTTCACTTCCTGTACAGCCCTGGAGTCCAACCAGCAGATGAGGAAGGAGGGGGAAACAGACAGCCTTGCTTCTTGACCACGGCGATCACTTCCCTTCCCAGCCCATGGGTGAAACCTCGTCCTGTGTTAGCTCCTGAGTAGGGTCCAGCCTGGGAAGGTCCCACCCAGCAGCAGCCTTATTTTCTGCACAGGGAGCAGGAAGGCTGGCAGGCGGGCAGCTGGCTCTGCATGCAGGTGAGGTTCAGTTTGAACTTATCTCCAGCTTCTTTTCCCAGCAAACGGGCTGCCTTGTTTCCAAGGGGAACCAGCAAGTCAGGGAGTCGAGTTGACCTGCTGTGAGGCACATTCCTAGTTTATTGCCTATAATAATTTTCATAGCTAGTCTAAGGGGCCACAGCTGCGGGACGAAGCTCTGACAACTGAAGGGCCAGGCGGGGGGTCCCGTAAGGGTCAGCAGTGAGGGGAGGAGAGGCTGCAGGAGAGCAGCTCCCACTTTTGCAATATGAGAAGGAGAGGAAGAGCAGAAGTGAAGCCAGGGTGTTGTGAAACCAGGAAGAGGGCTGCTCTCCTGCTTTCCTTGCTCAGGTAAATATTTGACTGGGTATTTGCCTGTTGGGTGCGGGGAAGAGACTTGGCAAGAACACCAGCCCAGAGGAAGCAGTCATAACCAGGAGCCCCAAGAACAATCCAGAGACCCTTCGTCCACTAGTGCATCGCCCACCCGGGCTTCAGGTGGCCCGTTACCAGCCAGATGTTCACTGCAAACGCAAGGTGAGTGCCAGGTAATGAGGCGGGACAACTGCGTGTCCCAGGCACCTGTCTTCTATGTTGATTGATGGAAACTGGGAGAAGGCAGGGGTTAGGTAATGTGCAGGCGGGCTGGGGTGGAGGAAAGAAGCAGGGGTAGGTTCCTGGGTCATTCCTTTCATCTTTGGTTCAGAGCCACAGAGTGAGTGAACAGAGCCCAGACATGGAATTAGAGGGTTCTGGGTTCAAATCCCAACTCTGCAGTTTCTGACCCCAGTTTGTTAATCTATTAATCAGGTGGAATAGCCCCCGTAACCGGTGCCCGTGACCAGTCTCTCCATCCCTGGGCTCCTTCCCCCCCAGGCTCTGGCATACACTTCCTACCCTTCACTGTGTATGAGATCAGCCTTTTTGGATTGTTCATATGAATGAGATAATGAGTGCTTGCCTTTAGGTGTCTGTTCCTTTTGCTTAACATGGTATCCTCCCCTGTCTTCTAGGTTGCTCAAATGACAGGACTGCCCTCTTTCTCTGTCCCGACTGTGTTGATGAACCATATTTCTCTACCTGTTCTTTGCTGTTGGACATTTAGGTTGATTCTCTGTCTTGGCTCTTGTGAATAGTGTTGCCATCGGCATTGGCTTGCTGTATCTTTTTGACATAGCAATTTCATTTCTTTTGAATATAAACCCAGTAAGTAGTGGGGTTGCTGAATCCTGTGGTTGCTCTATTCTGAATTTTTTGAGGAACCTTCCTATTGTTTCCATAGTGGCTGTGCTGACTTACATTCCCACCAACTGGTGTGAGTTCCTTTTCCTCTTTATCCTTGCCAATATTCGTTTTCTGTTGTATTTGGTTATCGTTGTTGTTTTTGGTGCCAGGGATTGAACTCACGGATCCCCAATCACTGAACCACATCCCCAGCCTTATTTTGTAGTTTATTTAAAGACAGGGTCTCACTGTGTTGCTTAGGGCCTCCCTGTTGCTGAGGCTGGCTTTGAACCAGCGATCCTCCTGCCTCAGCCTCCTGAGTAACTGGGATCACAGGTGTGCGCCACCTCCCCAGCTTTGTTGTCTTTTTTGTTACTAACTGTTCTATCAGGAGCGAGGTTAGCCCACGGCTTATGAACACCAAATGGGAAAGATTGGACATCTGCGAAGTCCTGCCCAGATGTGGTGGGAATCAAGAATTCTTACTCTAACGCGGAAATGTTTCAGATCTAAGAAGATATAACCAAAAAAAAAAAAAAAAAAGGACCATCACTGGTGTCACAGAATCTGCTTAGAACATTGGAGACATTTTGTCCTGTAGAGGACAAAAGAGAAAGAAGGAGCCATGAACACCCTGCCAGGCTTAAAAAAGGAGAACCCTTCCGTCCAGACACAATAAAGGAGGGAGGGAGCCCGAGAGGAGTGGGGGAAGAATAGCAGACGGGGCAGGGGGTGATTCTTGGAGGACAGGTGGACGGAGAGCGCCAAGTGTCAGCTGGAGGGGGGTGGGGAATGCGGAGCAGAGAGCCCTAGGGGACCTGTCCCTTTCTCTTCTCTCTCCAGTGAGGCTCTGCGGCTGGGAGAGAAGGAGGAGCTGTGGGTGTTTAGAAAGGTCCCTCTGAGCCAGGTGGAGCACAGGTGGGAGGTAGCAGGAGGACAGAAGGCCCCGGTGACAGTCTCAGTGAAGAGGAAGGTGGCCTGGACTAAGGCGGAAGCTGTGAGTGTGGACAGATGGGACTGGATGGGGCAGGGAAGGAGGGGAGGTGACTCTGGGCCTCTTTTTGGACGGATGGGTGTGTAGTGTGGCTCTCATGAGGCGAGGACTCCAGAGGAGGAGCAGGCTGGTGGAGTATTCAGTTGGGACAGGTTGGACTGGGGTACCTATGGGACACCCCAAAAGATACCCAGGAGGCAGGCAATTGACCCCGTGATCCGAGCCCAGAGACCTTTCCAGTTGTGCCCTCTGGGCCCTTGGCAGGCCGAGAAGTCAGCACCAGGCCCCCAAGGGCCTCCCTTCGTCCCTCCCAGGACCTCCTCACCATCAAGGTCATCTCTCTGGACATGGTTTAGCTGGTCTGGGTCCTTCTCACAGGGCAGCCTCAGGCCTGAGCGTGTTATTCAGATTGGTCTACCAGTTAAGAGTAGGGGACCCCCGAGGATCCCAGACACGAAAGCATTATCAATATCTTCATGTTCTTTTAGTGCTGAACGGGTTTCCTGTTTCGAAACTGGAAGAAGGGTTCGGATTCCAGCTCTGTCAGTCAGTAGCTGAGTGACTTTGGGCTTTCCTCCACCTCCCCAAAGCCTCAGTTTTCTCGTCTGTGCAGTGGGGGTACATACTGCACAGGTTGTGAGAGGGCTCAGTGGGGTAATAACTGGAAGAAACTGAGCCTAATATGCGGCACCTGGCAAGCGTCCAACAAGCAATAGCTATTATTATGTTTAGTCGGGGAAAAGAAATGAAAATGTTAAGTTAAGGATGGTAGGAAGTATGATGGTGCTCACCTGTAATCTCAGTGATCGGGAGGCTGAGGCAGGAAGATCTCAAGTTCAAGGACAGCCTGGGCAACTTGGCAAGACCCTGTCTCAAAATAAAATAAAAAGGGCTGGGGTATAGCTGTGAAGTTACACCCAGGTTTGATTATTTAAAAAATAGAAGGAGGAGGAGGAGAAGGAGGAGGAGGAGGAGAAGGAGGAGATGGAGGAGGAGGAGGAGGAG